CTGAAGGAGCCAATGTCAGAATGGAACTTGGAATCTCTAACCTCTCTTAAAGAGCTCAACATTGCTGGTGCCCCTAATATAACTTCCTTCCCGGATGAAAATTGTTTTCTTCCTACGAGCCTCAGCTTGATTTTCATTGCAAGACTCAACAATCTGGAATCTCTATCCCCAGCACTGCAAAACTTGACCTCACTAGAAGAACTAGAAGTTGTTGACTGTCCAAAGCTGAGACACTTGCCAAGGGAAGGCCTGCCTGCAACACTTGGAAGACTTTGTATCAGAAACTGTGAACATTTAAAACGAAAATGCTTGAAGAAGAAAGGAGCTTACTCAACGAGGATAGCCCACATCCCCAATGTGGAGATAGAATGGTAATCTCCCCATGTTCTCAGTTTTGTTTAGATCAACTTTTGTGACACTACTTTCTTCGGAAAACTTTTGCCATACAGCTGCATGATTCTTCTCGTAATGACCTTTTCACTGCAATTGCAGATTAAATTCAAAAAGGGACAGCAGATGTTCAATAAACTCTTGCAAGATGTTTTTGGGGTAATATATCATGATTGTTTTTTTCCATTTGTTATGAATCTTATCCATAGGTTAGGTTGCTGCCAAAGATTTCTTATATTTTCAACTTGTGCAGATTTCTCATTTTCTACATACGGATGGAGGGAATATCAGTGATGCCCAAATACATTTGTTCAAGATAGAGCTACAGCCTACAAGATTGGAAGCATATATACAGAGAATGATAATCCATAATCATTACCTCTAATGGTCATGTCATGGGGACCTTCTTTCTCATAACTCTATGCTCACATTAATCAAAGTCAATCTCAAAAATATTTGAAATAAAGAAGTCTGCAGTTTGATACATCCTGAATTGTGTTTTTGATTATGAGCCCTGTAAACTCTGTTTGTTTCATTTTCAGGCAAATAGTTTTGAATTTCTTGTTGCTTTCTTTACAGATTTTGAGATCAATCATGGACTATGTATTGTTTTTTCCTGCCAATCAACTAGTCGATTACACTTATATCATTTTATCTTCTATTACTGGAGTAACCAAAACCAATAATTGTAAAATTGAAGCAGTTAAAGAGTGTTTAAAGTACCAGGATTTGCAGACGAGGGTGCAGCGAACGATGTCGAACATATTCAGGAAGGAGAAGATGATATGAAGGATATAATGGTCCAGTGAGTCTATTCTCGTCCGAGCTCTCACGCTGTTTCTCTTCCTCGTCGGCGAGGAACCGTCGGAGGTTCCGGGTTCCAAAGTTTGGCCTCGCTGCCGGGTATCTCTCCAGCAGTGACACACAGAGGAAAACGATAGAATGTGACAACCGATTACCGATTCATGGACAAATAGCTGCCATTTAATTGGGCCGTAGGCTCGTAATAGTTATTGGGTTCCAATTGCACCATCTTTATTATTTTCTTGAATCTTTCTCCTCCGAACAATTTATTGGGCCGTAACCAAAAACTTTTGAGCTTGTTTTCTCTGCTCATAGTGAGTTCTCAGAAGTAAAAATTTTCTTTTGATGAAAGAGAATATATATATATATATATATATATGTATAATACTCTTCTTGTAGGCAAGGTCTAGTCTTCAATTGGGGATAGTATCCAAGAAAATTAATACTCTTGAATGCACAGGTTGATGTAAATAGTGTATACTTAAAATCATTTAGAGATAAATTAGTTTTGAAGTACATAAAAACTAACTTAAGAATACTTTAATTATCAATAATAAAAAAAATGACATGAGGGCATAGAAGACCAACTCTGCATTCAACATATTTCCAAAATTGAAGGCACAACAAATTGGGTGAGGTTGAGAACCCTCTTAATATTTGGCTTGAGATAGAAAGTCGGTGCACGTTAATGTATTGAGTTTGCATATGGTATAGAGAATCACAACATCCACATTCCACGTTATGAAATTTATTCAGAACAATAAGTTAGATAAAAGCACTATATATAACATTATACAAACAAATTTAGGCACAATATTAAATTTGAGTAGTACTTCTAACTAATTCAATTATTGTCTTTCATTTTCGAGCTATGCCTATACATAATTAAACAGTAGGCAGCAATTCACTCTCTCAGCTTCCTCAAAAAACACAAAAAAAATCTAGTTTTGCTGAATTAATACAGTGATGATGGGTAGTTCTGTGGCTTTCAAGCTGGCTTGTGTAGTATTGGTGTCTATGGTGGTGACTGCCCCTTGGTTCGAGCCACAACATGTAATGAGGTAGTGAGTCAGCTAGCACCGTTCCTGAACTACCTGAGGAACTGCTGTATCTGCTCCCTGTTGCACTTGTGTGAGGGCCATTAAAGCAGCTTGCAGTTCCAAAAACCCGCCTGTATGCAAGAATGCAAGTGCGTGAAAGGCATTGCCACCACCATTCCCGGTCTCAACTATGGTAACGCGGCTGCACTCCCGAGCAAGTGCGGAGTCACCTATCCTTACCCAATCAGCCCCAACACCAATTGCGACAGGCACGTGATCGTTCAAATTAATATTTTTACACGGCAAAAACACCAAAGGTATTTTGAATATTTTCATTTTTATTTTTAACATTTTAATTATTTTTTAAATAATTTTAAAATATAATTAAAATATCATAAATGATAAGGAGATTGAACAACCCATTTTCCATCCATCCAACGTGATGTGCACGTGGATCCCACCCCATTGAAAGGTGGCGTAAAACGTTGGAAACGAGGGTTTTTCTTTCCACTATTCATGGCGTAATTGTTGAAATTTTTTCATGACATTTATTATCATGTTGACTAATTTTAATGGTTTTTTTTAACAGTACTTGAAAATTTCAATGGCATACCATGTCCGCAAAAGTATTGGCTGCAAGAAGAATTTCTCCAGCCCATTACTTGACACGGCACCACCATAAAAGCTTGTTCACACATGCTTATGTCAGTTATGTGAGTTGATGAGCTCTACAAATAAAGGTTGGTGCAAGGCAGAAGAAGTAAGCAATCGAAATTGAGAAGAGTTTAAGTGAGGGAGTGCTTTTGTGAGAGGAGAAAAAAAAAAGGAAAATTTGTGAGATAATTTTTGTGAAAATTAAGAGAAAGTATTATGGATAATTTAAAAGTTTTTAAATGTTGAAATTAAAGTGTTTAGAATTTTTTAAGTAAAAATTTTTTTAAATTATTATATATTTTCTTAATAATAAATTTATTTATTTTTTTCCCATGAATATAGATTTCTTGAAAAATATACAAATCAAAACACATTAAATTATTGTTTTAAAATTCTTTATTGCTTTCATTTGTGTGGATTGTTTTGCTCAAAATTCCCAACACAATGTAATCGTTAACAAAACATAAAGAAAGAGTTGAAATAGGAAAAACACAAGCATAAAAATATAAGTACTTATGAGTGTGGTTATTGTCCTATATTAAATTACTAAACTTACATATATATTGATTCTTATTCTTATAGGTAGATATTTAAAAATATCATTATGTAATATATTGATTTTAATATGTTAAATAATAAATATTAATTAATAATAAATATAGTTTTCAATTATTTTGTAGTGCTGCTGTAAAAACAGGGTATCCAAAATAGTCCACATCCATCAAGTTCTCAAAATCAAAGCATTTGTTGGTAGCGCCAACACTCAGCCGTAGCAACGGTCAAGAAGATCTTTGAGAAGAAGGCTGAGAAAGTCAACCTTGAGCATGGAAAGATGCTTGCCTGTAATTAAAAGGTTAAACATCAATTTTAATCTATAACTTTTAAAGTTTTCAATAGTTTTTATCCTTAATTTTTTTATTTTTTTCTTCCACCAACTATGAAAATTATATTTTTTTTAGTTTTTTTATCAATTAATTCATTAAATTTGTTTAAATATATGTAT